TATTTTATTTATTTTATACCTAGTAGTTTGTACCTATTAATCCCCTGACACTTATTTTTTGTCCTTATAATCACAGCCGTCCTGGTGAGGGTGGAGTGGTATCTCATTGTGCTTTTGATTTCCAACTCTGATTTTTTTTTAAAAAATCTTTTCATGATGGAAAATTTGGGGCATTTGCAGAGTAAATAGAATAATCTAACGAACCCCTAATTACTACCCATGACTCAGCCTTCCAGACTGTCGAGAGCCTGCCACTCGGGTTCTCTCTCTCCAGCCCCTCCCACCTCCAATCATTTAGCATCATGATCATTTGTTTTATTGTTATTTTACAGTTTTATGGGAGAAATTTACATACATTGAAATGCACAAGTCTTAGCTGTCCGATGTAACAAATGGGGCATACCCGTGTCACCCACAGCCCTGGTTGGTATGGAATATTCCTATCACCCCAGGATGCTCTTTCAGGTTCCTTTGTAGTCTTCCCTATCCCATCCAGAGGCGGCTGCTGTTTCTGTGATTCTGTCCACCTCCTGTGAGCTTTGCCTGCTCTTGGACTTCACCCAGATGGAAACATCACCCCACATCTGCCTGTGACATTCATCATGTTGTCATACCCTTCACCCCTCCAGCCTTCCCAGGGCTGCTCATGTTTCTGTTCATCATGGGAGGGAATCAGAGCACCCCTCATTCCCACCAGGAACAAGTGCCCCCACGAAGGTGACCAAGCACCCCAGTTTGCCCAGGACTGAGGGGGGACTTTCTGGTGACCTGGAACTTTCTGTTGCTCAGTCTGGAAAATTCTGGGCAAATCAGGATGAGTGGTCCATCCTACCTGCAGAATACAACCGAAAACCTCCTCAGAGAAGGTGACTTCCTCCTTTCCTTCTGTTACTAGTTTTCCTCAGATATTGACTGGGCTGGGAATCATTTTCTCAGCTTGAGCGCCATAAATCCCCACCACCCCAACGCCGGCTGCTCGTAGGGCATTTCTCTGAGGACCAGTGCTGGGAGGTTGGTTTAGGATGCAGAGCTGAGCAGCAGTGCAGGGGTGACTCCGCACAGCACTTGCTGCAGTGCAGGGAGGTGGCCGGCGGGAGGTGGGTGGTTCATGCCTGGAATATCCAAAAGCAGGCACCAGAGGCAGAGGGAGGAGGGCCCACAGAGCCTTCTCTGCTTCCCAGGAGTCACCTTCCTGAGCTACAGGGTCACTGGTCTGGGGAGATTATTCCCAGGCCACCGAGGCTCTTGCCCCAAAGGGAAAACTCCCCTAATGTCAGCGATGAAAGGGGCCTTATAGAGAGAATCTGGCCCGGAGTCTGAAAAACTTCCAGGTACCTCTGGGTCAACAGGAGGTCTTGCCAAAGTGCAGATTCCTGGGCCACCCTCCCGGGCTTTGATTTTGTGATGGGGACCCCAGAACCCATATTTGTAACAAGCACTCTGGGGGATTCTGACGCAGGAGTTATGAATCGGCTTTGAGAAATGCCGCTTCTGTCCCACCCTCTTCATCAGAAGGTGAAGCACAGGAAGGGACAGTGACCACCAAAAGGTCACAGAGCAAGTTCGTAGCAGGACTGGGAAATCGGGATCCAAAACTCCTGAACTTTGCAGAACCCCGAAGCAAACCCCAGGCAGTCATGGCAAAGACCTCTTGTGTTCTGGAGAATTTCCTCCACTTCCTATAGAATTCAGGATAGGAGAAGGTATAGTTACCCTTCAACTGAGTGGGCAGACTGTCTGGACCAGTGGGTTGTCCCATGCAGGTAGCTGCAATGTTTTGTGCGCCTGCAGCAGTAGCAGCCTGCTCACTACTTCTGCGTTATTCCCATTGGTCCCAGCTCTCCCACGGCAGAGGAACAACAGTCCAGGGGGGATGAAGGATTTGCCTAAGTAGGTGGAAGTGAACCTGAGTCACAGACACTCTGGACTCCATGCCCTCAACTGCACCCCCACCAACTCCTACCTCTTGGATCAGAGAGGGCAGGGGAGAGAGCTGCCCCACTCAGGACTGGTGAATAGAGATCGGGACAGTCCAGCCCCTTTCTCCCTCCAAAGGTCAGACAAAAAGAACATTTCAATTTAGCATTCCTGTGAGGAGGAAATGGCAATCCACTCCAGTGTTCTTGCCTGGAGAATCCCAGGTACGGGGGAGCCTGGTGGGCTGCTGTCAATGGGGTCGGACACGACTTAAGCGACTTAGCAGCAGTAGCAGCAGCAGTGAGCCCAGGCACTGGAAATAATTCCTTTTTCCACCTCAGAGGTTTTTTAATCCAAAGAAAACTGCAGTTGTCAATGTGTTGCTTTTCACTCAATCAACTGGCTTCAATCATTCTTTCCCTCACCCATCATAGATACAGATGCCAGATATCTAGACATAGACAGAGATGGAGATAATGCAGAGGTAGATGAAGACCAAGAGGGAGATATAGACGATATACATATAGTCGTAACATTTAGAGTCAGGTTCTCAACTCTGACTTTACATTAGAATCATTGATGGGACTTCTGGAAAATTCTACCACTCAGGCTCAAACCTAGATGTCCCAGTCTGGACATCAGGATTTTTCAAAGCCCCCAGGTGATTCTAACATGCACAGTCCAGGCTGAGAACCACTACACTAGAAACAGAGCTTCTCCAACCTTATTGTGTGCATAAATTGTTGTTAAAATGCAGATCCTGCAGGTCCCAGGGGAGGCTCATGCTTTTGGTCCCAGGACACACTTTGAGTGGCAGAAGGGCTAGCGGAAGTCTCTGCTGGGGGCAGGGGCAGGGGTATGAATGACACAGGGAGGAAGCCTCAGATGCCCCACCTGGCTGGGATCTCTCGGGAAGGGAATAGTTGCAATCTGCATCACAGGGCTGTACTAGGAATGGTGGCATCCTCTCTGCCCTCCCCACCCACCCACCCCCAGCCTCTGAGCCCCCAGAAACCACAGCTGCTTCTCTGGTCCTTTACCTCCAAAGTCTAGCATGGGACCTGGCCAAGGTGAGCCCTCCATGTGGGTTTTTTTTTTTAAGTAATTTTATTTATTTATTTGTCGCTGTGCTGGGTCTTCATTGCTACACGGGCTTTTCTCTAGCTGTAGCGAGTAGGGGCTACTCTCCATTCATAGTTGCAGTGCAGAGGCTTCTCATTGCAGTGTCTTCTTTTATTGTGGAGCACAGGCTCTAGGGCACAGGCTCAGCAGTTGTGGCGAATGGGCTTTGTTGCTCCACAGCATGTGGGATCTTCCCGGACCAGGGATCAAACCCACATCCTCTGCATTGGCAGATGGATTCTTTACCACTAAGCCACCAGAGAAGCCCACCCTCCCTGTGTTTTGTTGGATGAATGAATGAGGGACTGTGGGCAAAGAAGTTACAAAATAGTCTGTAGTCTCCAGGAGACCATCTCCTCTGAATGTGGGCTCAGGCAAGTTATTTCAGTGCTCAGAACCATTTCTTGGACTGTCAGTGAAGCCTGCTCATGGCACCACTGTGGGGCTTAAGTGACAGTACCAGATCAGCGCCTGGTACACAGAGCTGCTTGTGTTGGTAAAGGAGAGGCTGGCTGCTGTAACCAAGAGGCTCCACGACAGAACGGCTTTCAGCACAACGTGCTTAGTCGCTCAGTCGTGTCTGACTGTGTGCGACCCCATGGACTGTAGCCCTCCAGGCTCCTCTGTCCATGGGGATTCTCCAGGCAAGAACTCTGGAGTAGGTTTCCAGGCCTTCCTTCAGAGGATTTTCCCAACCCAGGGATCGAACCCAGGTATCCCGCATTGCAGGCAGATTCTTTACCATCTGAGCCAGCAAGGAGGCCTTTCAACACAATAGACGCTGGTTTCTCTACCACCCAAAGAGGGACCAAGGTGAGTAGGCGGCTCTCATTCTGAGACCCAGGTTTTTCCCACGGTGATGCTCATCCTCCCAGGGGCATCGGTCCAGTCTGCTGGTTCTAAGCTGGTTGCAGGGCCGGCTGGGTGGTCCCAGTTCATAGGAAGGGGAGAAAGAGTGCAAGAACTCGCACCCACCACTAAAGTCCTGGAGCTAGGGGTGTGGCGCATCACCTCTGTTTACATTCTGTCGGTAGGGGCTTGGTCATTTGGCCACACTTAGCTGCAGGGGTGGAGAAGGCAATGGCACCCCACTCCAGTACTCTTGCCTGGAGAGTCCCAGGGGTGGGGGAGCCTGGTGGGCTGACGTCTTTGGGGTCGCACAGAGTCGGACACAACTGAAGTGACTTAGCAGCAGCTGCAGGGGAGGCTAGATCAGGTGGTTTCTGATCTATCTGACTGGCCATGCGCCCAGCTGCAACTTGAGAACTACAATAAAAAGGGAGTTTGGCGGATGACTAAGAGTCTAAAACAGACCTCCATTGATATAGAGTTATAGATTAATGATAGATGGATAGATAGAATAAAAAGACTATATACTGTACAAAGCATATATAGAGAATATATATTTAAATGTTTAATATATAGTATAATGGGCTTCCCAGTTGGCTCAGTAGTGAAGAATCTGCCTGCAATTCAGGAGCCGCAGGAGACACGAGTTCGATCCCTGGGTCAGGAAGATCCCTGGAGGAGGGCATGGCACCCCACTCCAGTACTCTTGCCTGGAGAATCCCATGGACAGAGGAGCCTGGTTGGCTATAGTCCATAGGGTCCCTAAGAGTCAGACATGACTGAAGTGACTTAACACACATATAGTATATCAATCTGTTATGACATATATAATATATAACATGTATTCTAAATATTAATACATTATTATTACTATATTAATATGCAGTGGTACATATTCATATATTAATAGTATATTTAATATATGAAATATAGAGAGAATATATTTAGTATAGAGTTAGCCTAGCATTTTTAGTAGAGACTGTACATATGGAATCTGTATATATGAAATCAGTCTCAATATCAGTACAAAGCGTTAGAATTGCTTTTCAGCATGGTTCTCTTGCCATTTCTGGTGCTTCGTCTCTCTACCCTGCGTTTCCTCGCCTCTCCAGGGGGAGTGCTCTCAGAAATGCTACTACATTTTCATCGTGGAGACCGTCTGCGTGGCCTGGTTTTCCCTCGAGTTCTGCCTGCGGTTTGTCCAGGCCCAGAACAAGTGCCAGTTCTTCCAAGGGCCCCTGAACATCATAGACATCCTGGCCATTTTCCCTTACTACGTGTCCCTCGCCGTGTCAGATGAGCCCCAGGAGGATGGCGAGCGGCCGGGAGGGAGCTCGTACCTGGAGAAGGTGGGGCTGGCGCTGCGCGTGCTGCGGGCCCTCCGCATCCTCTACGTGATGCGCCTGGCGCGCCACTCGCTGGGGCTGCAGACGCTGGGCCTCACGGTGCGCCGCTGCACGCGCGAGTTCGGCCTGCTTCTCCTCTTCCTGTGCGTGGCCATCACCCTCTTCTCCCCTCTTGTTTACGTGGCTGAGAATGAGTCTGGGCGGGTCCTGGAGTTCACTAGCATCCCGGCCTCCTATTGGTGGGCCGTCATCTCCATGACAACGGTGGGCTACGGAGACATGGTACCCAGCAGCGTGCCGGGCCAGATGGTGGCCCTCAGCAGCATCCTGAGCGGCATCCTCATCATGGCCTTCCCGGCCACGTCCATCTTCCACACCTTCTCGCACTCCTACCTGGAGCTCAAGAAGGAGCAGGAGGAGCTGCAGGCCCGCCTCCGCCGCCTGCAGAACGCGGCCACGGCCGGTGAACACGATCTCCTGAGGGACGTCAGTGACCTGAGCCTGGAGGGCCCTGCCTTGCCCATCGCATACATTTAACTCAAAATCCTCCCCTGAAGATGCTAGACCTTCAGCGCATGGCCCTCGGCTGACATGAGCTGGAGAGCACCAGTGCCTGGATCCTTCAGGAGTGTGTTTGTAGAGCTTGGGGGTGCACTCCCAAAGCTGGGAGGGGCTCGAGGCCAAGCATGTTTGGTCGGGTGATTCTTGACCCTCCCGGGCACAGTGGTCTCACAGAGTCGGACACAACTGAAGTGACTTAGCAGCAGCTGCAGGGGAGGCTAGATCAGGTGGTTTCTGATCTATCTGACTGGCCATGCGCCCAGCTGCAACTTGAGAACTACAATAAAAAGGGAGTTTGGCGGATGACTAAGAGTCTAAAACAGACCTCCATTGATATAGAGTTATAGATTAATGATAGATGGATAGATAGAATAAAAAGACTATATACTGTACAAAGCATATATAGAGAATATATATTTAAATGTTTAATATATAGTATAATGGGCTTCCCAGTTGGCTCAGTAGTGAAGAATCTGCCTGCAATTCAGGAACCGCAGGAGACACGAGTTCGATCCCTGGGTCAGGAAGATCCCTGGAGGAGGGCATGGCACCCCACTCCAGTACTCTTGCCTGGAGAATCCCATGGACAGAGGAGCCTGGTTGGCTATAGTCCATAGGGTCCCTAAGAGTCAGACATGACTGAAGTGACTTAACACACATATAGTATATCAATCTGTTATGACATATATAATATATAACATGTATTCTAAATATTAATACATTATTATTACTATATTAATATGCAGTGGTACATATTCATATATTAATAGTATATTTAATATATGAAATATAGAGAGAATATATTTAGTATAGAGTTAGCCTAGCATTTTTAGTAGAGACTGTACATATGGAATCTGTATATATGAAATCAGTCTCAATATCAGTACAAAGCGTTAGAATTGCTTTTCAGCATGGTTCTCTTGCCATTTCTGGTGCTTCGTCTCTCTACCCTGCGTTTCCTCGCCTCTCCAGGGGGAGTGCTCTCAGAAATGCTACTACATTTTCATCGTGGAGACCGTCTGCGTGGCCTGGTTTTCCCTCGAGTTCTGCCTGCGGTTTGTCCAGGCCCAGAACAAGTGCCAGTTCTTCCAAGGGCCCCTGAACATCATAGACATCCTGGCCATTTTCCCTTACTACGTGTCCCTCGCCGTGTCAGATGAGCCCCAGGAGGATGGCGAGCGGCCGGGAGGGAGCTCGTACCTGGAGAAGGTGGGGCTGGCGCTGCGCGTGCTGCGGGCCCTCCGCATCCTCTACGTGATGCGCCTGGCGCGCCACTCGCTGGGGCTGCAGACGCTGGGCCTCACGGTGCGCCGCTGCACGCGCGAGTTCGGCCTGCTTCTCCTCTTCCTGTGCGTGGCCATCACCCTCTTCTCCCCTCTTGTTTACGTGGCTGAGAATGAGTCTGGGCGGGTCCTGGAGTTCACTAGCATCCCGGCCTCCTATTGGTGGGCCGTCATCTCCATGACAACGGTGGGCTACGGAGACATGGTACCCAGCAGCGTGCCGGGCCAGATGGTGGCCCTCAGCAGCATCCTGAGCGGCATCCTCATCATGGCCTTCCCGGCCACGTCCATCTTCCACACCTTCTCGCACTCCTACCTGGAGCTCAAGAAGGAGCAGGAGGAGCTGCAGGCCCGCCTCCGCCGCCTGCAGAACGCGGCCACGGCCGGTGAACACGATCTCCTGAGGGACGTCAGTGACCTGAGCCTGGAGGGCCCTGCTTTGCCCATCGCATACATTTAACTCAAAATCCTCCCCCGAAGATGCTAGACCTTCAGCGCATGGCCCTCGGCTGACATGAGCTGGAGAGCACCAGTGCCTGGATCCTTCAGGAGTGTGTTTGTAGAGCTTGGGGGTGCACTCCCAAAGCTGGGAGGGGCTCGAGGCCAAGCATGTTTGGTCGGGTGATTCTTGACCCTCCCGGGCACAGTGGTCCGGGCTGGCCTTATCCATGTCACTTGCCATTTCCTCTCTCCCTGCCCCTCGCTGAGCACATCCAATTTCACTGGGTTAGCTCTGTCTCCCTTCCTTCCCAGCAGAGTCTTCAACATCCCAGGCTGGGTTCCAGACGCCCACAGAACTGAACCTACAGAATTCCATTCCTCCCCTAAGACCCTCTTTCCTGGACCAACCTACCGCCAGGAACTGGAGGGGTCAGTCACTGCAAACCCCTCTGATCAGATCTCTCCGCCCAGCCCTATCGGGGGTTCCAGCCTGGGTCAGTGTACTCTCCCATTTTTCACACCACCCATGACATTTTCCTAATGCAGCTGCCTCTGCCCAGCTCTGGAAGCCCTTAGCCAAGAAGGCAGAACTGCATCTGTGTTAAATCCCACGCTGGGGGCTGGGGGCCCACCATCCCTCCTGACCTGCCTGGGACCTGGGCAGGAGCACCACTTGCTGGCACAGCAAGCCCTCCTGGGCTCTTGGTGGGACCTTCTCCAATCATCCAGTCCTTGGCCTTGACAGAGGCTAACTCTCTCAAGGCCCCCAACTGTCCCTTGAGAGAACCATTCCTGCTGCTGGTTCCTTTAGCCCTTTGGGGACCTCGGCTTTCCACTCTCAGCTAAATTGCCAGAGATGCAGCATAGAAATGAAGGCAGCTTTAGGATCCACACCCTGCCCCCCGCCTGCTCCCCAGATCCCTTGATGCCAGAGAATAAGACCTTCTTTGGCCAATATTTAAATGAATTCATTCACTTAGGGTTAGGGTTCATTCAGTAACATGCCTGGCCCTTTGCATCCAGCATAGGAGGCAGAGGTTGAACCAAGTCATTGGAGATAGCAGTGCATCCTGAGCATAGGGGAAGAAGCAGTGAGTTCTGGGCAGTCGGCTCATGGAGGGCTTCACAGAGACACAGGAGCGGGTGGATGCAAAGGGTTGTTTTGGAAGACAAAGTGGAAAGGTGGGCCAGAATGAGATGCTGTGTAGAGGACTTGGACATTTCAGTAGATGCAGAGGAGACGTTGGAGATGCTGGAGGAAGGGGCGATGTGAATGGACTGCAGTGTGGATGAAGATGATGGGATGGGCCGCTGGAGGACCAGTTTGGAACAGGGAACAATTGAGCAGTTTGGGCAAGCTACAAGCACCTACCTCCTCCACGTCATTAATTGTACAGATGATGCCAGGTCCTGGAGTCTCATCTTTTGTTTCCCAGCTGAGCACACCTGGGAGAGGCCAGAGACCTCCCACCAGTGGCTCCGCTGTGCACTGCTACATACCATGGGCTGTAAATCTGCTAAGAAAGAGCACAAGGTTGCAAATGGATGATGGAGAGGAGGTTGTGGACCTCTGGATCTAATGTAGTTCACGTGTAAGCATTTCATCGATGGGGACAACCAACCTTTATTTCACTAGTATTTAGTGCAGGCCTACTATGTACTGGGCATACGCTTCCCCCTGACCGCAGTGCTCGGGTCAGTCTAACCACAGGTGGCTTGGGCAGGGGGCCATCTACACCAGCATCTAGCTTCAAGCTGGCCTTGACCTCGTGGGGAGCCCTCACTCCCTTTGACTGCTCCGAGTGCCATCTCAGCTGATGGGCATACATGTCCCCCCATTCCTCTAGCCCCCCAAGAATCATCAGGGCACCCCCTAGTCCTTCCCAAGATGACATTTCACCAAATAGGCACTCTGCATGGTAGCAGAGTGGCCAGTCAGGGCTTCCGTGGTAGCTCAGCTGGTAAAGAATCTCCCTGCAATGCAGGAGACCCCGGTTTGATTTCTGGGTCAGAAAGATCCCCTGGAGAAGGGACAGGCTACCCACTCCAGTATTCTTGCCTGGAGAATCCCATGGACAGAGGAGCCTGGAGGGCTATAGTCCATGGGGTCACAAAGAGTCAGACATGACTGAGTGACTAAGCGCATCACAGCACAGTGGCCAGTCACACAAGGAAAAGTCCTGCCCCTCAGAAAAGCCACCGTGACTTTAGCCCCATCCCTCTCTGTCAGTTTCAGGGGCTGGGCTAAATCTGTGGTTTTCCAATTGGGGTCCCACGAAGATCCTTGGGGCTGCTCCTGTTCCAAGGTGCAGCATTTGCAAATAATGATTTTTTAAAGAACGTGCACATTTCTAGACACCCTCCCCCTTATTAGTCATGGCCCCACTGAGGGGCAAGCTCACCCCAGACCTGGAATGGCCTAGGACCCATATCAGGCCCCACATGGATCCTCCCTCTTCTCCTTCTTTTCTCTTACTAAATTTTTGGCCACTGTGCAGCATGGGGGATCTTAGTTCCCCGACCAGGGATCGAACCCTCACCCTTCTCATTGGAAGCAGGGAATCCTCCCTGGACCATCAGGGAAGTCCCAGGTCCTCCTCTCTCTTCTGACTGGAGACTTTTTTTGTGCTGCAAACCTGTGTCAAAAACCCCTCACTTCCACTCAGCCCATTCTGTGACTGGCTCCCACCAAGGCCGCCCTCTTTTCCTGTTTCCCATACTTTGGCATCCAAACAAAAGTGTGCCAAGATTAAAAGAAAAATAGTTGAGCCCATCACCATCATTATGAGCCTCTACAGTGTCTCAGTACATGCCCGGTGGAAATTCTTTACCAAATTAGAAGTGGAAAATTGGAATTGATTGCTCGCAAGTGAGGCTTAATTAAAAGCTCTATTTTTCTCTCCCTTCCATGTCCCCTGGGGACTGATCTCCTTGTGTTAGTCTAGCTTGGCAGAACTGCCTTTCCTTCATGCTGATTGGGTAGAATGGGGGTGACTAGCAGGTTGCTAGGCAGTCTCTTTATCCCCATTGGCTGAAAAGAGTCTCGCGATTCCCAGAAGGGCTTGTTTTTCTTGGAGGCCAATGGGCATGACTGCAGCCAAAAGTTGAAATTCTCCAGCTGAAGGCAAAGAGCAAAGGGCCTTTTGCTTCAAGTCACTTCCATGTGGCTCCCAGAGGCAACTTTAAAATGGTGGTTCAATACCTCTCTAGCCAAGAGTTGAGCCCACGTGATTTGAGGATGGATAGGTTAATTCTTCAACACCCTGCAGGTGGGGCTTGACTCAGTGATTCTGTTTTCATGGCTTTTAGGACTGGAAGGCCCATCAGAAGACAGTCTAAGCAGGTGGTTACCATGGGGTGTCTGTGAACCTCTTGAGATTATAAATGCACAGCTTTGAAGAAGGGTCTAGTGACATTTGTCAACCCTCAAGGGAATCCATGACCCCTGAAAAAGGACAAGAAGTTAAGAAAAATCGACTTCTGCATTTTAAGATGGAGAGACCAAGGCTTAGAGAGGGAAAGCCACCTCCCCAAGGCCACACAGCCGGTTCATTTAGTTAGAGCCGAGCATCCTGATTCCAGCAAAACACCCTATTAATAGTATATCAGCTCTCAGGTTCATCTGACACAGTGCCCAAGACTGCAAAGAACCTATTCAAAACAAGATTGTAACACGTTGCCACATACCCTGAGCAGGGTAAGGAGGGTCGTCTTGGGGCCTCTTGAGCACCAGCTCTTACCCTTTGTATAACATGGACATGGAAATCGATTCCACTGGGCTTTCTTTCTCTCATTGATCCCATGGAGAGGGTGGAGGAGACGGTTGTTAAGTTTTCTCCCAGCGTGGACCGTCTGTGATTCTGGGAAGTTCATTGCAACTGTTTATATGATGGGGGGAGGGTGGGGGCAGGTAAGAAACCGAGAGAGAGCTGAGAAAGCAGCACTCACCACGGTCCCTGACTGTCTGCAGAACTGCTCCCTTAGCAAAAACCACAGCTAGCTCAAGCTTGAATAGGGGTTCGAGGAGATCTCTGCCCACAAGCTGCCCATGTTCCTACCTGTTCTGTCCACCTGGGCATCTCATGCTCAGTGCCTGGTTGCACAGCTCGGTCTCCCCCTGCCTGCCTCCCTCCAAGGGCTTAAACTCTCTCCCTCTGCTGCTGCTTGTTGAAATGCTCATCATGGGCTTCACTTGTTGAATGATTACTGGGTACCGGGCAATTGATTTCTTAACATTTTATTTGGGAAACTCACCAAAAGAAGTTGTAAAGAACAAAAATAGTACACAGAAGACTCCCATACACCTTTTAAGAAACAATTTAGCCCCATTTGCTGTATCATTTGCTCTATTTTTTTTTTTAATTATCTATACATAGGATGTTTTTCTGGACTCTTCGAGAGTAGGTGACTATATCATGGCACTTTGCTCTCAAAACTTAAGAAGATGGTAACTGAAAAGACTATCAGAACACCATGGGTCCAAGGGTTCCCAGCCAAGAGTTTCCACAAGGGGTTTGGGAATCTCTGGTGTTGGCACGCAACAAAGCACATGTATGTCTTGTGCATTTCAGAGTGCAGTGTCCAATGATTTCATCAGGCTCTCAAAGGAATCTACAACTCCTCCCCTCAAATAAAAAGAAGCTCTAAGGGAAGCCAACTCTTTCATTTTAAGATGGAGAGCCCGAGGAGACCCCAAATACTTTGCTGTTTAGATCCTAAGAATAAGGACATTCTCTTACAAAGCCACGAGGCAGTTAACCACTGTCTGGTCCAGCTTTGTCGACTGACCTGATAATATCCTTTATAGACTTTCTCCTCTGGGACAGGGTCCAGGGTAGACTGGGATGTTGCATTTCCTTGTCCTATCTCTTTAGCCTCCTGTAATAGATCTTTCCACAGCTTTCATTTGTCATAGATGGCATGGAAATTCAGGGTGAGTTTCATCTCCCTTTTCTAGCAGAATGTGCTTCATTTTGCACCCATCCCCTTGTGTCTCCTCATGGTTAGATTGAGGCTGTG